TTATTATTTCTAGGTTAAGAATTAGATATCAGAGAGCAGCAGCACTCGTGAGACTCAAGTTTTAGCCTATTTTGGGCATTTTCATCATGTTTTACCGTGGATTCTTGTAGATTAACATTCTAGTTAATTAATATGTTGATTTTATCGACTACTTCTTCAATTTCTGTTGCTATTATGTCTAGCTAAACCCATTAGCTAGGGTTGTGGCTCAACCCTAGTGTGGATAATTAATGGGTGTGATTGCTTAATGCTTGAATGATGTTGGGTGTTTGCTATTTGGGTTAATTTTATGATTTAACTAGGATTTGGTGGTTGCAAACACTAAGTCTAGCCTAGTGGGTCTTGACTCTTCTTAAGAAAGAGTGTCTATGACTCCAAAATTAACCCAGCAAGGAATTGGGATGGACCCATGAGAATGGTAGTCCCAATTAACGGGTTAAACCTCGAGAGAGTAATTACCCAACTTGAACCCTAAGTTGCTTGGGCTTGTTGGCCTACCCAATTGGTCTCGAGAGAGTCAATTGGGCAAAATCACTCTTTCTACCGAGAGGTGTGAGAGTGAGTGCAATCGTGCAACGGTTATAGCATAAGCCCCATAATCATCATTCTTGTATTAGGAATCTCTACCCGTTAGTTGACCACCAAGGTAAATGCCACGACCCTAGTGTCTTTCTCTATCTTGCATGCAACCTAGAATTACTATCTTAGCATAATTTAGTTATAATTAGTAATTGTTAAATTGTAGTTGATAATCACAAAAACCCAAAAATGACGGAAGATCAATTAGAAGCAAACACGCATTTCTAGGCTAAGCAAATATCCAACTCCCTTTCTAGCTCCCTGTGGAAATTGACCCCGATACCACTATTGGGTAAAAGTATTAGCGCCCACTCTTCCTAAGGTTGAGTCCGCTGCGGATCACTTTTTGGCGCCGTTGCCGGGCAGCTTACGGTGTTGACTATTTGTGTAGCTAGTTTTGTGTTTTGCTTCTCTTTCCTTCTTTTTACTAACTTTATTTNGCATCTCTTTCAAAGCATCAATCAATGGGATATTTACCTGGATTGTTTCAGCATCTCCAGAACTTTTGTATTGCTCTCTTTTGGACTTTGCCAGCCTCTGAGGGAATGGTGCAGGAGGTCTCTTCTTCCCAATAATTTGGGATTGCTCTTTATCAGCTGCCACCTCAACTACTCGTTCCCGGGCTGTCTCAGCTTCTTTCTCAGCCTCAGTCTGAATGTTATTTTCTTCCTGGGCAGGCTGGACTGTCACCTCTGTCAGTGTCGTTGACTCATCCAGCTCAATGGGAATTGGTATGAGTGTCTCAGCCTGTCTGGTTTCTCGAGCCCTTTCTTGATCTACATCCAAATATCTGCCATTGCGTAGACTCACTGCCATCAGCTGCCTCACTGCCATCAGCTGCCTCACTGCCATCAGCTGCTTCGGGCCTTGATCTATTGGATTTATCTGGGTGTCTGCAGGTAATGTCCCATGAGGACGATTGTTCAGAGACATCGAAATTTGGCCCATCTGCACTTCAATATTCTTGATAGCTGAATCATGTGCATCAACTCTCTCACTAATTTTTGCATTAGAGCCAATAACCTGCTGCATCATTGCCTCAAGTCTAGCAAACCCATCTTCCTGCCGTCCATCATGCTGCTGCTGCAGAGGTTGGTACCCCTGCTGCTGATTCTGATTGTTGTATCCCTGTGGCCTTTGGTACGGTGCCATATTATTAGGGGGTCTCATACCTCCCATGTTTCCATTGTTGAACTGAGGCTGCACTAGCCTGTATGGCTGCTGCTGCTGCTAACCCCAATTTTGACCACCCTATCTCTGGCCTCCATATATAGACACATAATTCATGTCTTCAGGGTAGTGATGATGATCATGTTCTGCATTCCACTGGTTACCAATTGGCTGACTAATGCAAGATGCGCACAAGCCCCCATTGGTAGTGTCTACGATGTGTACCTGCTGCTTCTGCCCTGACTCTTCCACCTTTTTGGTGAGTATACTCATCTGTGTCAATAAGGTGGCCATATTTTCAGCCATAGAGTTAGATGGATCTAAAGGCACTGAGTGAACCACTAGGGTGATAGGTGCATTCCTGGTTATCCATCCCAAATTCTGTGCCATCTTGTCAAGTAGACTCTGGCCTTCTCTCCATGTTTTGCTCAAAAATGCTCCACCAGCTGAAGCATCAACTATGTTCTTCACGCTATCTGACAATCCCATGTAAAACCGCTGTCCCAATATCAGATCTGGGACACCATGGTGTGGACATACAACCAGCATCCCCTTAAAGCGTTCCCATGTTTCATGCAGTGTCTCCATTGGTCTCTGTTTAAAACTCAAAATTTCATCAATTTGTTGAGCAGTCTTGTTGGGTGGGTTGAACTTGTTGTGGAATTGTTTGACTAATCCTCCCAATTTGTTATGGAATTTATGGGGAGTAAGATTAGACAGGGCTGGGCAGCTCCTGTCACTGAGAATGGGAACAACAACAACTTGATTGCTTCTTGAGTTACGTTGGGCTGTCTTTGGATTTTGCATATTGACAGGAAATTCTTCAAGTGCTGCTGAGGATCTTCGACTTGTGACCTCGAAAATAGTCCCTTGTTTTGCAACAAGTGCAGCATGTTATTCGTGATTTGGAATGATTCAGCCTGTATCTGCGGGACTACAATCGCTGTGGCCGGATTTTTAGTTGTGGGTTCTGCCCAGTCATAGAGAGCAGCCTCTGGCACAAGAGGTGCCGGTGGCGCTATAGGTGCAGGTAGATTGTTTTCGTGATCTCCCATGTTTGGTTCGAATTGTTCAATTGTTTGTTGCTATTTGCTTTTCCGGTTGGCCCGGTTCAAGGCCTTAAAAACTTTCTCGGGATCTGATAGAGCTTCGAATACTTCACCAGTTCTCGTTGAGTTTCTAGGCATGCACTTGTACAACCAAGTCAACAAACGTTAAAATTTCAATGTATAGATTGGGTATAGAGAAAACTGACTACACTAAGAATTTTTGTATTTCTTTCAGTTGTAATTGATAACACCGTTAATTCCCTGGCAGCGACGCCAAAATTCGATTACGCCTAACTATGCCTTATAAAAAGGACACACGGACGTTGCAAATATAATCTGAGTATTTAGCCCAGAGTCGAACCCACAAGGAATTAACCTATCAATTACTTTCGTTAGACTTACTAAATTCCACGGAATCAACTTCCCAAACGTTGTGAATAACAATTGATGGTATTTCTACTAACTATGAATGACAGTAAATAAACAGCTGAGAACTAACTATAATTAAGTTGTAAATAATTAAGAGAAGGTTCTAAGGTTATGATTTCCCCTATTGATGAAATCCCTTCCGGTTATGCTTCACATAGAATCACCAAATCATCTCTATCAATCATGAGCGCTCCTCTTACCGTAAATCTCTCCCGAGTAATTATGATAATTTACTAGACGCACTCTCCCGAGATACGCTAGCTGGCTTTGTTTTTTACAGCTCACTTTAGATTGCACCCAAGGCTTCGTTATCCCTAATCCCGCCTTTAAACCCGCAGTTATATATTCCTCTTATACTTTGGGAGTGGTGTTGTTCAATAATTACCTAAATATGCACTCCCTCCCAAGTTATGCACACTAAATAGGCACAACTAATTGAGGATCCTGTTAATTAACTAAAACAAGCACGTAGTTGAACAAATAGAGATTAAACTGACAAACTATATTAACATAACCAAGAAGTTCATCCTTCAATAGGTTCCATCAAAACCCTAGACAAAGGAATTAGCTACTCATGGCAAAACTAGATAAAACTACTAAATTATTCATAATGGGTAATTGCAAGAAAATAAAAGAGATAGAAAAACTCTAATGTTTGGTTGATCTTCTCACATTTGTTCTTGCCTCCAAAAGTAGTCTAAAACAAGCTTAATCCCATCTTGGGCAAATTTCTAAAGCTTATAAGGGTTTCACATAAGTTTTCCCGAATTCACACTTTGGTCCCCAATTTTTCTGACGCGTGAACAGTGCACCGCGGTCGCGGCAGGACCGCGGCTCGACCGCGGTGGGAGCTGACCATTCTGCCTGGACTTTTAATTCACCGCAGTCGCGGTGGAATTTGCCCAGGCCATTTTCTCGCTACTTTGTGCTCGGGTACTTCTCGAGTGGGCGTTTTCTTCACATTATTGCCTCCAAACCACTCCGTGGTGCTTCCTCCCTTAGAATATTCCTGCGAAACAAAAAAACACCATTTAGAGCATTTTGTTGGCAATTCGACTTTAAAACAACAATAAAGCATGGTAATATTAAGGTGCAAATATCATCTATATAGCCTAATATCAGTTGAATAATGAACTTTTTAAAAATAGGTCAAATATGGAATTATGCTTGAAAAATGGATAACCAATGAGTTTAACTTTTACATTCGCAAAGACTCAAATTGGAGGTTCCTCAAGTTTGGGATACTAGGAATTCTCCCAAAAGTGATCAGATTCAAGAAGCTATGGATAGCATGGATATCCATATCCATTTTTTATCCATATTAAATATGGGTGGTCGATAATTTATCCGTTTTTACATTACCTGTTTTTGACCCGCCCATACGACACGAACGACCCGCCCGTTTATCACCCCTAATTATGAGAACCAGAATCTCTAAACATAAGGAATTCCGGAAGATTAGAAAAAGAGATGGCCATGGATATGAACGCCATAAGCAGGAGGAGAGAAGTAAAGATTTGAATTCTAGAAGAAATACTGATTACCATAACCTCAACGCTACGGGAGACAGACCAGACCATGACAATAAAATGAGCTCGAGATTTGAGTGTCGCTCAAGTTAATTAATATATTTTCAACTTAATTCTCTTTAAAATAGATCATTATTTAATTTAATGGTAACTAGTTAACTAAAATTATTCAATTCCAGTTGAAAATAAAAACATAAAATCCAACTCACGCAAGACTTTAATAAACAGTAATACTAGAAGTTTCCAAGAATCCATAATATTCTATAAAGACTAAAACTCAAAACCCTAAACTACATAAAACTAAAGTAAAAGCCATAAACAATCAACAAAATGTCCAAAAACCTAATTAAAACCCCTTAATTAAATGTTAAAACATAAACAAAACCCTAATTAGTAGAATCGTCAATTTCTACTCCTTCATGTGCCCAAGCATGTTCCTTCTTAACCTCTTCCAATTCCGCTTCAGTATACTCATTTGTGATATTAAATATCTTCCTAACAGCCATATACGATTTATCCTTAATCCGATCAGCAATTGACTGACATAACAAATCCATTAAACTCTTAATATCAAGGTAATTAGCAGCTAATACAAGTTCAAACAGATCGTTGTAACTCTTCTCCTTCACGAAATCCTTATCGAATTTTTTGATTTCCTCTTCGTTAGACTTCATCTTCTCGTCGGCGTGCGTCTTTAGGTACTCCGTAATTTTGATTAGGGTTTTGGTATCGACGTTTGGGAGTGGAATGACGGTGTAATCGTCTTCCACCATGTTTTTTATGGTTATGGATTGAACGGCGGCGTTTTCTTCTATCTGAAATTCGTCGCCGTCGGAGGATTTTAAGATCAACATCTTTTGCTCAGTTGCTGCTGCTGAGGAGGAGGAGGAGGCGGCCATTGATTTAATTATTGATGATTTTAGGAGATAAGGGAGATGAAGGAAAACCCTAGAGAAAAGTCGAAAGGTAGAATTATGTGTAGAGAAGGGGAAGATGTTGGTATTTATAGGTAACGATTGATGTTATTTTACGTATTATATTTCCTTGTCCTTTTTAATTTAGGGAAAAAAAATCCTAAAGGGAAAAGGAAAACTTTTGTTTTCTTTCACATTTCTAGAAACTACTAACGTTGGAGAAAAGAATGTTTAATGAGAATATAATGGATAATGGATAATTATTTATCCCGTGATTAATAATAAGTTAATAAAGGAATTTTTATAAAATGGTGAATTGTGAATGAATTAATTGTAATGTGATAATTAATAATGTAGAGAATGTTGTGCATAAATTATTTATATTAAGCGCATTTTCTCTATTTAATTAAATAGTATAGGTAATTCCCATATCACAAATCTTTCACAACTTAATATAAGTATATATTTAATATTGGCAATCAAAATCTACATAATATAATATTATGCATAATTTTTTTTCTTATACGGCCGATAATTTCAAAGGAAATTGAAGGAAGTTCCTCCAAACTCATTAAGTGGCACATTCACTTTAGGTTACGGTTATATCGATAAATATAGGTTATAGTCACTAACAATATAGTATATGAATTGAATCACGCTACACACATATTACTTTCCCCAAATATCGGTACCTGCTATGGTCAGTTGACTCATTAGTCCTCGCATTGGGTTAAATTATTTTCAGAAATAAGTATTTTAGTATGAAAAAAGTACATGATGTATTGTAGGAAAGATCATAGGGAAACCGTAAAACAACGCGATTATCACCCATAAATATAGGTAAGTTCTATAGACCGGTGGTTAGATCGGCCATGTTGTATGGAGCTGAGTGTTCGCCAGTCAAGAATTCACATATCCAGAAGATGAAAGTAGCAGAAATGAGGATGTTGAGATGGATGTATGTGCACACTAGGCTGGATAAGATTAGAAATGAAGATATTCGGGAGAGGGTGGGCGTGACTCCCATGGACGACAAGATGCGGGAAGCGCGGCTTAGATGGTTCGGACACGTGCGGAGGAGAAGCCTAGATGTACCGGTTAGGAAGTGTGAGCGGTTGACTTTGGCAGGTACGAGAAGAGGCAGAGGGCGGCTAAGAAGTATTGGGGCGAGGTGATCAGGTAGGACATGGCGCGACTTCAGATTTCCGAGGACATGGCTCTTGATAGGAACATGTGGAGGTCGAGCATTAGGGTGGTAGGCTAGGGGGTAGCCGAGAGTTCTTCCCTCTTTGTACCGGGTAGTTTGATAGAGTTTTGTTTAGGTTTGTTAGCGGTCTATGTTGTGTTCACATTGTTGTTTTGCGCAGTTTTGTGTTATTGTCCTTTCACTTATTCGTTGTTGTTATTTTCTTTCTGGCATCTTTTGTTGTTACATGCCTGTTCTTTTGTTTCTTTTCTGATATTATTGTCTCTCCTGTTGAGCCGAGAGTCTCCCGAAAACAGCCTCTCTACCCTTTTCGGGGTAAGGATAAGGTCTGCGTACACTCTACTCTCCCCAGATCCACTAGTGAGATTTTACTGGGTATGTTGTTGTATTCATCAAACCAAAAGCTTGATTAAGTTTATTCTCTCTAATAACTTCAGTATTAGTGTCATCATCCATAATTATTTTATGTCCTTATATCATCAAACCGAAAACTAATTAGTTCTTGTAAAAAAAAATTATGTGTAATTACTATTGAGAAGTGACCTCATTATAAAATATTTATTATACCCTCAGTGCATTAAATTTAAACATTTTCAGAGATAACTATAAGTAGCATGAAATAATAGGAAAGAAAAATTGCAAAAATAATTCTAGTTTGTAGAGGTTTGGGAAAACAAAAAAAGTCTTACCCGTATAACCAAGGTGGTAAAAAATAATTTTTACTCCAAGGAAACATCAAAGTATTTTTGATCACCCCGTAAATATTTAATGTCCTTATTCATCAAACCAAAAACTTACTTTAACAAGTTTCTTTTCTCTAACTTCAGAAGTTTTTAGAAGTGTGAAAGAAAATAAAAAGGTTTTCGGATCTTTTTCATAAACCAAAAAGAAAAGGGAAAAAGTAAAGAATCTTTACACAAATAGACAGTCGACCGAATTCATTATTTACTTTTCCTAACTGGCATACATAAATTATATATACTGACTATACACGATTATACACAAATTACATTTGAACTATACACATATTATATATCCACAAGTAATATTTAATTTAAGGGTAAAGAGATATTTAGGTTAATTCTTCACAAAAAATCACGTCTATAAATACCGCTCGATTTTCACCTTCTCAATATACTATGCTGTCTTCTGAGTTTTTTTTTCTAGGGTTTTTCTTCCTCTAAGTTTCTCCTAAAATCATTCATCAATCAATGGCATCAACAACTGAGCAAAAGAAGATGTTGATCTTAAAATCCTCGAATGGCGACGAATTTGAGATCGAAGAATCCGTCGCCGTTCAATCAATAACCATAAAAAACATGGTGGAGGACAATTACACCAAAATCCCACTCCCAAATGTCGATACTCAAACCCTAATCAAAATTATCGAATACTTGATGAAACACGCCGTTGAGAAGACGTATACGAACGAAGAAGAAATCGAAAATTTCGACAAGGAATTCGTGAACGGGAAGAGTTACAGAGACCTGTTTGAACTTATATTGGCTGCTAATTACCTTGAAATTAAGGGTTTGCTCGATCTTTTGTGTCAGTCGATTGCTGATAGGATTAAGAACAAATCGGCGAATGCTGTTAGGAAGATATTTAATATCACGCCCGATTACAGTACTGAAGAAGAAGAAGAAGAAAAGGTTAGAATTGATTAGGGTTTAATATCACGTCCGATTACTCTACTGATTAGGGTTTGTTTGTATTTTTAGTTTTTATGGGTTTTAATTAATTATAGTTGTTGGAAAATTCGTTGATCGTTATCGTGCATGGGTTGGGGGCTTTGATTTTCATTTATTGTTACTTAAATTTTATTGTATCATTAAATTCGTCGTTGAAATGTGTCACTTTATATAATAATCGATTTCTCTCATCTCACCCTCCATTATCATTAAATAGTTTAATTTTATCATTTACCCTGCCATTTTATATAATAACTAGTATTAGAACCCGTGTAGAATATTAATTATTTTAATAATTATAACTTTTTTTTATTATATTATATTATGATACATTAATAGAATTTCAACTGGTATCTTACTTCTCAGAACCATATTTCATTAACTAAGTACATGAAATTAAAGAAAAATAAATTATATAGTCATTGTATAACATTTTTATTTTTATTTTCTTTTATTATAATTTTTATTATTCAATATTATTATATTATTAATATGATAATTTATTAGCACGTCACTTGGCATAATATCATTATCCACTACTCCTTTTAACATAATATTTCTTACTTCTAAAAAATATTTTCTAAAAATTTATTTTATGAGAGAGATCTGTGCTCAATTAATAAGCAGAGGCGGACTTACATGTTGCAATGAGGGGTAACCGGATCCCGTAAGCTTCAGCAAATTTTTATATATGTATATGTATATGTATATGTATGTACCTTGAAAATAGTTAATTTAAAGCACTTGGCACCGTGAACACTAAAAGCATTTAGGGGCATTGGTTGAGCAAAATATTGTGCCCCCACCGTGTAAAAATCCTGGGTCCGCCTCTGTAAATAAAAATATTGATCAAGTTAATATCTTTAATTTTTTACTCTACCATTATTTTAATTAGTTGATACGCTATTTATATTTAAGTAGCAGTAAAGTTTACATTGTAGCCCGTAATCGATGTCCTTACCTTGAGAATTCAAATAGTCTCTTACATTTGAAGAATAATTTATTTGTCTGATTTAGTTCAAACTTTTGATGAGAGATTCCATAGTAAGCAAACAGATATTTATGATTCTATCCTCGATCACTTTTTCTAACATACATGAGTGCCTGGAGGAGGCTGGAGATGCGACTTTCCACTTTATGCTTCTTCCTTCATTGTCATTTGCTTTCGATGTATGTGATATATATCCCGGTTGTATTTGTGGGAGGAATTATTTTGAGTGTAAGAATGGGGAACAAAGAAGGCATTGGATATTCTCGATAAAAATATGAATTTTGCCTATATGTTACCTGTTCCAATGGAACATGATATAATAATAACATATAACGCTTCGACTAGAATGGCACACATGACAGAAAGATCATTTATAAGTGCTTCACCTATTTAAAGGTATTTATAAGTGTTTCACCTATTTAAAGCACGAAGGGTGATGCCGTGCAACTTATATTGATTTTTATGGTGAGGATGAGAGTAAAAGCATGAAGGGTGATGTCGTGCACTTGTTTGATTTCTGATTCTTGTTGACAGTTGAGTTGTGGTGTTCCCTATATATATTTACCTGCTATCCTCCTGTTGTCATTTGATGTTTTCCCGCAGCATGTTTCCCCCACCCTCCTTGACTATATATTTCTGCTTTTATTTTCCGCTGTACATTATATATCTGCACAGGTTTATTCTTGGTAGTCTGGTCCTAGCCTCGTCACTACTTCGTCGAGGTTAGGCTAGGCACTTACCAGCACATGGGGTCAGTTGTGCTGATACTACACTATGCACTCTTTTGTGCAGATCCCAGTGCTGCAGATTTCGGACCGCATTGAGATTTACGTTCCTTGATCAACAGGCGACCTGAGGTAGTCCTGCAAGCGTTCGCAGGCCTTGGCGTCCCCTCTATCTATTTTCCTGTTTCTTTTATGTACCCCCAGAGACAGTATTTTATTATTTCTTTCTGACCCTTATTTGTAGTACTCCTAGACAGTCTGTGAAGTGTGACACCAATCTTGGGTAGATTTATTACGTAATTATAATAGCGGTATTATTAAGTTTGAATTATAATCTTCCGCTTGTTAAATTTTGTTGATTATTAACTGTTGGTTTATAACTGTTAACGGATGTAAAAATTGGAAACAAGGCAAACAATTTAGTTGATTAGCTTGCCTAGCTTTCACTAGTAGGCGCCATCACGACTCCCAAGGGTGGGAAATCCGGATCGTGACAAGTTGGTATCATAGCTCTAGGTTACATAGGTCTCACAATTCACAGACAAGCTTAGTAGAGTCTGAGGGAACGGTACGGAGACGTCTGTATTTATCCCCTAGAGGCTACAGAGTTAGGAAAAGTTTCACTTCTATTCTTTCCTGTCGTGCGGTTTGGTTTCTCAATGATAATTGAATTTCTACTCTGTTCTTTCGTAGATGCCGAGAACACGCGCTTCCTCATCCGCTGATCAGCAGCCCGAGCCCCCAGCAGCAGCTCCCACGAGAGGCAGAGGGCGAGGCCGAGGTCGTGCTAGAGGCCGAGGTAGGGGCAGAACTCAGCCCGGAGTAGTAGCACCAGTGGTGAGGCCTCAGGTTGAGTTTGACAAGGAGGTTCCGGCCCAAACAGCTCCGGTGGGCCCAGAGGGGTTCATTGCCACCCCAGTACTTCAGGATGCTCTGGTCCGTCTAGTGGGTCTCATGGAGAGTGTCACCCCAGGCAAGCTTGCTTCCTATAACCCCAGCCGTCTCTCAGGCTGGAGGAGGGGCCCAGACTCCTGCTACTCGCACTCCGGAGCAGGTGGCTCCCCTATTTCAGACTCCAGCAGCTCACCAGTTGGAGTAGTTCAGCCGGGTATGGTAGCCCAGACCGGTGACGGAGCAGCTATGATTGCCGATGCCTTGTGGAGATTGGATAGGTTTACTAAGCTCTTCACTGCCACTTTCAGCGGTGCATCTTCTGAGGATCCCTTGGATTATCTAGACAGCTGTCACGAGGTTCTCAGGAACATAGGGATAGTGGAGACCAATGGGATCGACTTTGCTACTTTTCACTTATCTGGATCCGCCAAGACTTGGTGGAGAGATTACTGTTTGGCTAGACCAGCCGGATCACCAGCTTTGACTTGGGAGCAGTTTACTCAGCTATTCTTGGAGAAGTTTCTTCTCATTACTCAGAGAGAGATCTATCGGAGGCAATTTGAGCGTCTCCAGCAGGGTTCCATGACTGTTAGCCAGTACGAGACTAGGTTTATCGTGTTGGCCCGTCGTGCTCTACTTATACTTCCCACTGAGAGAGAGAGAGAGTGAGGAGGTTCATTGAGGGACTTATCCAGTCCATTCGACTTCAGATGGCTAAGGATACGGGAAGTGAGATTTCTTTCTAGGAGGCGGCCAATGTGGCCAGAAGAGTGGAGATGGTTCTATCACAGGGAGGTGGTCAGGGGTCTGACAAGAGGCCTCGTCATTCAGGCAGATTCAGTGGTGCCTCGTTTGGAGGCAGGGATTCGTATGGTAGAGGCCGTCCTCCTAGGCCTTTTCAGTCGGCCCTTCAGGTTTCTCACGGTGCTTCAGGTGGCCGTGGTTCTCACATGCAGTACTCTAATCAACAGTCCTACAGTGCACCACCAGCTCCTATCAGTGCACCTCCGCTCTAGAGTTTTCGGGGTGGCCATTCAGGTCGTCAAGGTCAGCAATCTCAGCATCTGAGGACTTGTTATACTTGTGGTGATACGGGTCACATTGCTAGATTTTATCCTCGAGCATCGAGCAACTCTCAACATGGGTTCCCGTGTCATGGTTCAGGCACCGAGTGTTCCACAGCCCGCCCAGCCAACCAGAGGTGGGGGTAGAGGTGCTAGAGGTGGAGGTAGAGGTTCTAGAGGTAGAGCTCAGGCCGCTAAAGGTGGAGGCCAGCCAGCAGCAGGCCGTCCCAGAGAGGTAGTCCAGGGTGGTGGGGCCCAGCCCCGATTTTATGCTCTCCCAGCCAGGCCAGAGGCTGAGGCTTCCGATGCGGTCATCACAGGTACGGTTCTGGTTTGTAGTAGGGATGCTTCAGTGTTATTTGATCCATGGTCTACATACTCTTATGTGTCATCTTATTTTGCGCCGTATCTGGTCATGCCCAGTGATTCTCTGAGTGCTCCTGTTTATGTGTCCACCCCGGTGGATGATTCTATTGTGGTAGATCGTGTTCATCGTTCTTGCGTGGTTGTGATTAGGGTAGGGGTCTTGAGACCCGAGTAGACTTATTACTGTTGGACATGGTCGATTTTGATGTCATATTGGGGATGGACTGGTTATCACCTTACCACGTTATCTTGGATTGTCATGCCAAGACTATGACCTTAGCCTTACCGGGTCTACGTCGTTTAGAGTGGAGAGGAACTCCTGGTCATTTTACCTGTAGCGTCATCTCATATATGAAGGCTTGGCGAATGGTTGAGAAGGGGTGTTTGGCCTATCTGGCATATGTTCGTGATTCTAGTGCCGAGGTTCCTTCTATTGATTCTATGCCCGTTGTCCGTGAGTTTCCTGAGGTATTTCCTTCAGACCTGCCGGGTATGCCACCCGACAGGGATATCGATTTTTGCATTGATCTGGCTCCGAGCACTCAGCCCATTTCTATTCTGCCATATCGTATGGCCCCGCCTGAGTTGAAAGAGTTGAAGGAGCAGTTGCAAGACTTGCTTGATAAGGGCTTCATTAGGCCCAGTGTCTCGCCATGGGGTGCGCCGGTGTTGTTTGTCAAGAAGAAGGACGGAATGATGAGAATGTGTATAGATTACCAGCAATTGAACAAGGTCACAATCAAGAATAAGTACCCATTGCCGAGGATTGATGATTTGTTCGACCAGCTTCAGGGTGCCCAAGTGTTTTCTAAGATCGACTTGAGATCTGGCTACCATCAGTTGAGGATCAGGGCGTCCGATGTCCCTAAGACAGCTTTCCGCACTCGATACAGGCATTATGAGTTCTTGTTGATGTTGTTCGGGTTGACGAATGCT